AAGATTTTACTCATTAGAGGGAGCGCATTAGGATTCCAATTTATGACGAAATTAATTGTAAATTGTGATGACGATTTTACTCATTAGAACAGCGCACATTAGGATTCCAATTGATGACGAAATTAATTGTAAATTGTGATGGATTTGAATTAGCCTTTGCCAGCAGGGAACATGGACTATAGCACATGGTTTTAGTCGATTTCGGGCCAGTTTCCATATTTTGAATATATATGCATAATTTAGGGAAGATAAAAATTAAGACATTTTGGCCTTTTTAGGCAAAAAGCATGGACTATTGCACATGGTTTTGATTGATTTATGTTCATTTTCACATATTTTGAATATATGTCCATAACTTATGGTGGATGCAAAATAGGTCATTTTTTGACCATTTTCAGACAAAATGCATGGACTAATGCCCATGGTTTTGATTGATTTTGGGCCATTTCCACTCATTTTGAAAATATATTCAACATTTATGAGTGATGCAAAATAGGTCATTTTGGGCCATTTTCATGCAGGCAAATATAGCGCAAAGTGACACTTCGAATGATGATGGAATAAATTGCTATTTTCATGAATAATTTCACTTATGATTGAAGACGCATTCGGACTCCAATTGATAACCAAATTACATGAACGGGCGTTAGGACTTCCATTGATGACGATATGAATATCGAAATGTGATGACGATTTCACTTGTCAGTATAGCCGAGTAATATTGTGAGAGAGCGCGCAATTATTATTTTACCACAGAAAACCCATCATTCAAAAAAAGTCCATTTTTTATCTAATAACAATAGCACCTTCACACTTCAACATTCTATGGTTATTCATATTATTTCTCAACTTTTTAGTTCCTTAGGGACTGGTTGAATGACCTGGTTCGCTTGTCCGCCATGTTGAAGAGTACAACACTGTGACCTAAAAGAACTAAATAACTCAAGAAATTTGCTGTATTTGAACACCTAAATGCCTGGAATACAAGGTATTGTGCATCATAGACTTCAGTTTAAATGTATAAAGGCCATAGACCTAGAAATGACGCGATTCTAGTCATTATTGTTGATTGAAAAGCTCAGTTGTAATCGGCTTCATATAGTTGGAGCGAATTATCTGGCTGTTTTAAGCCGATTGTTAGTTGCTGATACAGTTCTGCATCGTATAAGTGCTACTGATTGTTGTATCATTCTTGACGAGGATTTTGTTTTGACGATAAACAGTTACTGGGTTAAAATAAATTTCAACTAGAACTTGTGCATAAATCAATAACGTGCGCAAAGACAAAAGCGCTGCAAAGGTTTCAGTTTGCGCACTTTTTTATCCTTAAAAATATAAATAATAGATTTTCGTCCTTGATTCTATCATTTAGATATTCGATATATTTTTGCGCGTCTCTCTTCCATCTTGCATGACATAAAAATGATTGAAATTATGTGCACCCTTATCAATATTTTTGGTTTGCGCTACTGATATCAAGCAAGCCAATTATTTAAAACGTTTACCTTTTGCACATCAATTTTGCGCTATTTTATTACTCTATCGATTTTCCCAAATACTATTGTAAACTAAGATATCTTTTTTGTCTTTATTTTTGACAGATGCAGGAGTGAAGAAAAGATGAAGTATTTGCGATTATCTGCCTTTTGCCGGACAAGGTTAATGTTAAAACATTTTTGACGTTTTCAAGATGTTTACAATTAGCTTAAGAAATTTTGAATTCTGAAGACCCAAAACAACTTTTTTAAAGATTACAAGATTGACATCAACATTTATTGGGTTCCCTCCCCTTAATGTTTTCACTTGGGATTTAAGTGTATTATTCGTTGTATTTAAACAATAGAAAATAAACAATTTTTTGTTGCTATTCTGATCGTGTATCTTGTGTACCTCCCCTTTTCAAAATTGCACTATTTTCCCGCCAAAAAACTTAGAATTTTTTCAGGTAGTGTTTACCTCTTGCTGAACAGATCCGGTCCACTATTGTGCTCAACACCCCACCCACTTGCACTTCGTGGTGACTTTAGCAACTTTTTTATTTTCTTTCCCGCCAAAAAACTTAGAATTTTTCCAGGCCGTTCAAGTAGTGTTTGTACCCCTTGCCTCACAGATCCAGTCTACTCGTGCTGCATTCCCCACCCACTTCGTGATCACAAAATTTTCAATTTACTTTCACGTCTCACGCAGACTTTAGCACCTCTACTTGGCCCTTCTAATCCCCTTCCTTTGTTCTGTTCATTATCCCATTGTTCCCTTCAGACAATAAACAAGGCATTAATTATTTATAAGAATTTATTAGGTCATTAATATGCTACGATTACAAGCGTTATGTTTTAAGTGACTTTCAAACCTTTACCTTCAACAAACACATCAACAGTCTACAGTACAAGTGCACCGGCTACAGGGCAAGAGGTAAGGTGAAGGTACAGGTTCAAGTCCCAGGTAAGTCTAGGTTCTTAGATGAAAAATTGGACAAGCAAGAATACAGCCAACTACAAGCAAGGATCAAGCCAATTCAAGCAATCATGGACAAGGTAAGAAAGAAGGACTCTCAGATTGGCAAAGAAACAGAGAAATTGGCTTTAAGAAAAAAAAAACTCAAATTGGCTTTAAAAAAGAAAAAAAATTCAAATTGGCAATAAAAAAAGAAAAAAAATTAAAAATTGTGAAAAAAAAGTAAAAAATCCCTATAAATTTTGAAAAAATATATACTAAGTCTTTTTTCACTTTTTTTTTGCCCCTAGGTTAATTAGACGAAGGTCCCCAAGATCAAAAGTTCGAACCTACCCTCCCTTTAAGAAGAATTACCCCCGAACAAATTGTTCAGGGGTACCCCTTAAGGGTGATCAGTAGAACGAACTAAAGACCTGGGGGACTGTAAATTTGTTTGCAATCAAAAGACACAGGTGTTATCTGAGTAAAATACTAGTACAGGATACTGAAACAAGGCATAAAACTGGTGTATTCTTTGGCAAAAAGCAGTCTTATAATCTCATGGTCTCATAATACAAGACAGAAAGAGCTAATGCAACTTCTGATGAATTTAGAGCAATTTATTTCGCACGCGTTCAGAGATGGATAACACCAGTTTTATGCCTTGATTCACAACTAGTTAAGCCATAAAACGTTTTAGGCATCATATCTACCGACAATAAGACTATCATGGTCGAAGTCAAAGGGTGAAGTTTCAAATTTGAATGTGCGTGTAGAACATTTCGCACTATTCCAACTTTGCTGAGTTCCTACCAAATTTGAAAATGACCATCTATTGATGCAAAAAGTTCCATGGCTCCAACTGATCTTTACCAGTACTAGATGAACAATAGATTTTGGTGGATTGTGACAAACTATGGCACAGGACAAGATAGAATGAAGATTTTCGAGCAAAGAGTTGTTGAAATTTTAGTGGTCCCAAAACAGCATGATCAACTGCACCATAGATTCTCACAATCCGACAAAATCTATTCTACGATGAGCAAGAGTGACATATGGTATATTTGTATCTAATTTTTCCGTTTAAATATTTTGAAATGAATAAAATAAATAAGCATATGAATAAATAAATAAATGACAGATTCTGAAATTCCGATGCACATAGCAATATTTACATGGTAGTTAAATTTGAATATAACATTTTGAAATTGGAATTTCTTAATAGAAAAATTGAATTGAATTGTTTCAGAGCCAAACTGATGTGAATAGTTTAAGGGTTAGAATACCATTTATCATCTCTTGCATACTTCTACTCAGATAACACCCATGTCAGACTATGAGAACGACACACCAAGCCCTATGCATTATAGATGCCAAAAAACGTTTTTGGTATTTGTTTGTTTGGATAAGTAATTTGGAGACCATAACTAGTGAATAAAGTGAAAATTCACAGGCCAATTGAAATTTTTGAGGGAACATCAGATTAAAGACAATGTGAATTTAAGTACCATATCAATCCTATTCCAGTTTTAATACAAGATGAAAAAGAAACCAGAATGACATGCTGTTGTTACTTTAAATTTATATTGTTATATGTACTGTAAAACATGGCCAAAATTCGATAATTTAGCACAGATAGGATTGATATAGCAATATAGAATTTGTACACAGTACTTCAATCTGACCGATGGTGTGTCAACTCATAGTCCTATGTTAAAGTTTCACCACTTTAAGGAAACATGGAATGGTTTCCAAGGAAACACTTCCACTGAGGTACCAGGTTTTCACTATCAAAGATGGTAACTGTATTTTAAAAGAGAAACTGGCTATCAAATATGTCTATCAAAATTTGACAAGTTTCTCTAGTTTGAAAACAATTATTTGGAAATTGCACCTTCCAACTAACATCCTCTTTATAATTCAAAACTAATTTCCAAAATAACAGGTTTTGATCTGTTAAGATAAATTTTGATCATACATGTATTTTGTGTGGGGTTCGTTTGGTTTCCATTGTTTTAGCATAGCACATTGAGGTAAACAATTTTAATCATACATGTATTTTGTTTCGTTCTTTTGGTTTCCATAGATTTAGCATAGCACATTGAGATAAATAATTTGCTCTATAAATACTGTATAATATACTGCACAATTGCTTTTAGGATGAAAGAGGATGGCATTGGAAAATAGCAAGACTGAATGCTGGTAGATTATGCACTTGACTTACCGCGTCGATGAATGCGAACCAGGAGTGAAGAAGGCAAATATTTTCAAAATCTTTTTTATGAATATGGATATGATAAACAGTAAAGCCACACTATCTATCTCATCAAAAAAATGGTAAAAAAGGAGAAGTTGAAAGCCAATAGTATTGCACATGGAAATTAATATTGCAGCTAATTCAGGTCACACACAACCAGTAATTCTGAGAGGTGAAATGTAGGTTTCAAGACTTCATGATCAAATTTTAATTCTCCAATCAACTACTTCGATATTCAAAAAAAAGTAAAAAACAGGTTTTGAACCTGCCGTCATTAATGACTGTGAAATATATTCTGAAAGAATTCACTTCCCAACCACATCAACGATAATTAGCTTGAAAATCTTAATTTTTTAAGTTAAAAGTAATTTGAATTGCAGGATTTTTGAGCATAGTTGGCCCTTAGACTTGGAATTTCAGACAAAGCTGCTGATAGTCCAATCAAAACATGTGAGATACTGGTCATAATTATGTGACATGAATTAGCTGTTAACAAAGCCAATCATGATTTTGGTAAAAGCATTGAGACAGTAAGGATATGATAGTGGGGTTCTACTGTAACATCAAAATAAATACATCAATGAGAATAATAATCATTATGTACAGTACCCTCTCACTAAGTTTTGTCGCAAAACAACAAAGATAAACCAACCAATAAGATGCCAAAAAGCCCCAATATCATGTATCAATCAAGATAGTGGCTTAGTTGTCTTAGTTTTGCATATTAGGAAGACTTATTGCAGTGAGAGCATACTGTACAAATCAAAGGTCCAAAAGTTCAGTAACTAATGAAAAAGCTTTTTTCTTCTTTTTGTAGCAGAATTAAACTTTTTGCTCTCATGACTGAAATTTAAAAAACTAATAAAGATTTAAAAAGGTTAATTTGTTAATTTGTTGAAAGAAAAATAAGGCCAAAAGTGTCTGAAATAAGAAACAGAATTTGAAAATAAATTTATATGTTGCACAAAATTTAGAAAGAAACTTTTTCATAATCACCAATCAATCAATGTAAATAGAATCATTCAATATCAAAATATATTAAAATCAATCAAAACAAAGTGAGACAAAGCAATCAATATCAAAGTAATAAATGGATTAGTAAGAGCTTCCAAGCCAGCCAGTCATCAGATCCAGTGGACATGTATAGTGCATAATTTACCAGCATTAAGTAAATGTTGTAAGAAAATTCATCAAAGGATGTGTTCACTTTCATTGATGACAAAAAGGTAACACAACCTTCATAATCGTGTGATCTAATTCTTAAAGTGGTGAAAACTTCTACATATAACGAAGCATTATATGTAGATATATATTCTATAACTTATTGACCAAGACAAAGACAATCTCAAGCAATATTTACCTAAAAACAAAGGTAAATACCAAAGAGAATTGACAAAGTCTGTGGTGAATAAGTATTTAGTAAAATTACACAGGTGAATGTTGAAGCTATGGACAGTGCAAAGCTAACTACACTCGCTTGTATAACTCTACTAAATAACTTCTTTACATTAACACTAATAGTTTCTGCTAGACAAACTAGCCTTGCAAACTTCATCCAACTAGAAAAAATAATAACAGTGTCAGTGTGGTATTCTTACAATATTAGTTAAAAGGGGCCTTGCCTAGATGTATTTACCAAACTCAGTTGCTATGGAAATATCCAAAAACATCCAAAAAGGGTTTCTTGATTTTTAACCTCATACAATAAATCAAAATGGTACATTTTTTAAAAAGATAAAAATCCCAGGCTACCAAGCCATGTTGAAAATTTAGATTAAAATGATTTTCTCAATCATTTAATGTAAAGACAAATTCATGCTTAACTTTATAAAGAATGCATCAAAAAATGATTTCATTCTCATTCGATTGCTGACGTTGTACTCATAGCTAAATATATATCTTTTGTAATCAGTAGTTCTGCTCAAGCGCATTAAAGTAATTGCTCGCAAAATTTGGTTGCCATTTTAAGAGCTTGGGCTGCATAGCCCAGATTTTTAAAATTGGTCAGAAATTTTATGACAAACAGCCTGGTTATACAGTATTTTCTCATTAACAAAACATTTCCCTAGCAACCACTTTGCAGAGTTTGGTAAATAGGCAAGGCCACCCTTAAAGTACCCCTAATGCCTGATTACAGACCAATTTAGAACAAATCCTCACATTGTCATAAACACATTTTTCAAAATTTTTTCGTTTCAAACGAATTCCTGATTTTTTACTGCACGAAAAAATTGGCAAAATTCTTGTGTCCACTTACTCTCGAGGAGCCTGAAAAATTGTATAGACTTACGTCAAGAGTGCTGTTTTTAAAAGTTTGAAGAAATAAAATATGCCAAAATATTGAGCTTTTACTTATTGTACAAGTGAATCCAACTTGGAAGAATGCATGATTCTTTCACTTTTGGAACGTATCACCCCAATGACATGATCGCACTAGTCCCCCGCATGCGCGGTCCTTGTATGAAAAGGCGTGTTTTCAAAACTCATTTTAAAATCAGGAATGCATCCAATTTCAAAACATTTTTGGATTTTTGCATTTTTATGAATATATCTTCAACTTACATAAGGTCTGTGATTAGGCATTAGGGGCACTTTAAGTCATGTGAGGTACATTTGTACTGCTATCTTGGGGATGGAAGTGTGCAACTCAAAAAGACTTTTATTTCAAGCAAATAATATAATGTTTGAATGTCGGCCCGTAATTCTGTAAGCGTATTGGGTTTGCATTTTTTTAAGTAAATGTACATGTACATGGAATGGGAAGATTTGTATTGCTTTGGTGTTGTATTTTTTCGTCCATTTGTTGAAAAAAAAATTTAGCAGGAAAGGAAAAACACTAATAAAGGCCAAAGAAATGCTATTTAGAGCATTATTACAATATTTCTGAGTGCAAAGCGAGTGAGTTTCCTAAGGTTTTACCTTAAAACTCTGCCACGTGCAGCAACATTCAAAATGGGTGCTCAGAATGAAATGCTTATTTAAGAAAGGAAAAATCCTAGAAAAATAAAATAAATCGCTAGAGGGGAAGAACTAAACCTTATTTTAATGTCTGTACAGCTTATTCTAGTTTTGGAGCATTTCTTACCGTATAAATGTCGATATTTCTGTCCACGCCTCACATCTTCGTTCGCCTCCACCTTGGTTCTTCTTGACAACAAGACCCTAACGCATGATGGGTACACGTGCCTTACTACCACAGGAAGCCCATGCGCAGTCCTCAAGTGTGACGATAGAAACCTTGGGTTTTTCTAATAAATAAAATCAACCAGTCAGAAAATGTAGGTATTTCAACAGACGATAATAACAGAAAATTTTTTCTTTCAATGATTTCTTAGATTTCCCTGTTCTATTTTGAAGTGGTGTTTTCGTGAGAGTCATAGGCCGAAAGAGCATGGTCACCCTGTGGTAAGAGTACTGGGAACTAAAAAGACGAGCATCGGCACGACTCGAGACGAGAAAGACGACACAAAAGAGAAATATAATGCAATTTTAACTGCAATTTCTTCTTTGATTTCGCAGAAGAATGCCTCTACGATTACTTTTAAGGTATGAAATGAAGATGAAATCCCTTTTTCCGCCTGGTGGAGTCGTGGTGTCGTAGAGATTATGTTTGATTCATGACGATAATAATCATGGCTTTCTAACGAAATGTTTGGATAATATAATATTGCATAACATTTTAGTAAATTTGGCGTATGATCGACAGTCTCCTGGGTATAACTGAAGAAAATCTTTTCCTCTCATTAAGGCTGTTAATGACATTCATGAATTTCAATCAGCTGAATAATATCAAGAAATACTGGCAAGAAGTATTGGTCATAATAGACAGGGAACCCAGAAGTTGTTTTTTAAGCCAGCCGTCCTTTGTACTAGCTCTAAGTAAAGCCTTCGCTTGTCTTCTCATTTGCTAATTTTATGATCATTTTGTTGTGATAGGTTTTTGAATAATCAGCAAGTCGTGGAGCAGGTATGTTAGACCATAAGTTGATTGTCAATTTTTTTTTGGAATTTTCCCACATAAATTTACAGTATCCTCAAGCACTTGAATGTAAGGCTACGCATGGGAAAATCTATCGTTCCTGTCAACAAAGCTACCTTGTGGGGAAGGCCAATGAAAACCTTGTCCCCAGGGACCTCTCAGCCAACTCCAATTCAGCATTGGACTCCTCGGGAAGAGAGTTTTGGTTTACAAATTTTTCTAGTGAAATATTATTTGACAACAGATGCAACTTTTAAAAATTGACTGTTTGACCCTCTAATGTAATATGGCCTGCATTTGGAATACAGTATGTTGCTAGAACTGTGGTATTGAGTGTTGGTACAGTTGCCTTTTAACTCTGGGGTCTTGGGTTTGATCCCTGGACTGGTATCCGGTCATTTCGAGACACAGTCGTTTCGAGACAGGTCGTTTCGAGACACTAAGATACAGGTTCGAGACAGRCATATATCCGTTTCGATACACCTCATACACCGTTCAATATATATCATATATAGAGGATATTACAGGTTCAAAACGATCTTATAAAGATAAGTATTTATTACTATGTTGAGATACAAGGATACCAGACCAAACGTTACCAAGTTTTCCGTAAATTATTGACTCGAAAACTCGTCAATCGACAGTAGTTTTGACGAGTTGAACATTCTTGTTGTCGAGTCAAAATATCTTGTCCGCGTCTAAAGTTTTTGAGCTATTCGTTTCCGTGTTTCTCTCTAAACTTGAATCCCCTTTCATATTTATCTAAAAATTCTTCATAAAGTTTAGAAGATGTGAGTTTCTGATAAAGATTTTAGATAAAAATCATAGAGTTCTGATTAAGATCTGGTAGTTTGACGAGTCGAACATTCTTGTTGTCGATTGACGAGTTTTCGAGTCAATAATTTATGGAAAACTTGGTAACGTTTGGTCTGGTATCCTTGTATCTCAACATAGCAATAAATACTTATCTTTATAAGATCGTTTTGAACCTGTAATATCCTCTATATATGATATATATTGAACGGTGTATGAGGTGTATCGAAACAAATATATGCCTGTCTCGAACTTGTATCTTAGTGTCTCAAAACGACCTGTCTCGAAACGAATGTGTCTCGAAATGACTGGCATTCCCTGGACTCAGTATCACATGTGAGCAGAGTTTGCTATGTATTTTCCTTGATTCAAGGGTTTTTCTTTGGGTTCTCTGGTTTTCCTCCCTGGGTATAATAAAACCTAACATCCTAAATTATAATTTGATTTGTGAGTTAGCCATGCCCTGACTTACATCAGCTCAGAGGTTGTTTCAGGGTGTCAAAAAAAAAAATCAAGTCTGTTATAGGTCTATAAAGCCTACATTGATCTACATTTATATGACAATACTTCATTTTACAGTTCCATTCAGTAACCGCGAATAATAGTTCCAAGCCAAGGTTGGAGTTGCCACACATGACAAATATTATAGTTTCGCTATGTGCTGAAACTCTAGCCTTGGCTTGGAACTATTATTCCTGGTCACTGAATGGAACTGTAAAATGAAGTAATGAAATAAATAAATTGTTACTTCCTTTTCTCATTTGGTAAGGACCACTGTGTTTTATTTCTGAAGACTTGTTTCTACAAGTTTAGCTTCATTTTAAAAGCAAGTCATTTGCAATAGTCAACACTAATGTAAAGAATGTGCAGCTTGAGTAATACCAATGTTTTGAAATCCTAAGTACTTCTAATGGTATCTGTGAATAACTGACTTATAAAAGAGGCTAAGCTGTTGTCTTTAAAAACTACAGTATGCATCAAGTGCAAACCGGTATATTGTTAAGCCCCTTTACTGTTTGTATCTTTCAGTTGGCCAATACATCAATAATCCGCCGTTTTGCACAGCTAACACATTACACTTATATAAGAGCAACTGTTTGGGGTAAGTTTTTCTCATATTACAGATTTTAAGATTTGTTCTCAAACAAAAACTCAGGTTGCAGTTACATCAAATTTTCTGAAACATGTTTATCCAAGTTCACCAAATAGCCAACTAAGATAAAGACAAAGGGTGATACCCAAGTCTAAAATTTGCACCAATACTTTCAATATTCACCAAATAAAGGATATTACATGGCTGGAGATAAATAGATATTCTATTGATGGTTATATATTAAAACCAAATATTCCTTGAAAATAACCCAAAATGGGATGGAAATGCATTCCAAAACTCCTACAACCCTTCAAGTAGATTACCCAGTTCTGATTATTTTGTATGAATTTTCTACATGAAAATATAACATGATGCACTTTGCAATCTATGTGCATCTTTCTCAGTCTAATATTCTAGAAAACCTAGTCTCGTTTTACTGGTCTCTTTATTAAATGTAAAAACTAGAATTACAATAATTAAATATAGCTAGTTTTTCATTTTGCTATCATAATTATACATGTAGGTAACCAAGTGCTCAACAAAATGGCAGAAAGTACAGTAAAAGAACCAGACCAAGAGAATCAGAAAGATTCAGGAAGATTGGCTTCATTTTCCAGAACATTCATGGAAAACATCCAGAAAGAAATCGAAGCTTCACAAAAAGGGAAGAAAAATCCTTATGACTAATTCACAGATAAGACACTTGTAGATACCTACACTGTAAATAGTATTTAGAGAGGAGAACTAGTGTAAATGCAAAACCAAAATGTATAATTTTCAAATGTGGTCCTTTTGGACCAATATTTTTTATGTAAAAAATTAATGATTATACATAATCTATAGGTCTGCATCACTAAAGCAAGTTTAATTGACCATTCATGGATCCATGAAAGCCTTTATACTATATTCACAATATTATTAAATTATTGATTTCAAATCTGAAACGAAAAACAGGTGTCTCGATTTCAAGAAAGTATATTCTCTACGGAATCGAAAAATTGCAGCAATTTATGGTTCCACCTCAGACAATTGTGTACCAGTCACTGTTGCAGCAGTTTTTGTCCCACAAACAACTACAGTATGTTTTTCAGTAAGTTTATAAGCTTACCAACTGCATTAAGTAATAATCATTTTAAAAACTGAAAATGTTCACAAAGGCTACATTAATAGAAACAAAACAGGCAAAAATGCAGCATTGCGAGCAGTGCATTTTTGCACTTTAACATAATAGTGGTGTTGATCGTTAGGAGAGAACTAACGAAAACAAAATATGCAACATTGCACCAAACAAATTTGTGTGGGGTGACACACATTGCAACAAAATCACGCAACATTGCTTGTGTCAGCCTGCTATGTTAAGATATTTGATCAGCAGTTATAAATTTGGTGCAAGCTGATTGGCTGGAAATTTCAAAATGTTGCAGGTAATGTTGCTGCCATGTTCACATGATAAAATTTTTTTGTGCTCAATGTTGCAAGAGTAGAGCTCGATTCAACTTCAGATTTGTTGCATGATGTTGCTTGCAACAAGTTTGGGGTAGACACAGGCTGCAACAGTCCATTTGTGTGCAATGTTGCATGCAATGTTGCACCGTGTGTCAGCACCTTAAGCCTTTTAAAAGACGTACTGAAACAAATAATTGTTTTTAAAGAAAAAGCTCATCAGTAAAATAGTCCCCTGGATATCAGAAGGTTGTAGTTAAGACTGTGCACAGAGCTACATTAAGAATGTTTAGCATTTTTTCAGTCCTAAGTCATTAATGTGACATTTTCTGCAACACCTTCACTTAACTAGTAAAGAAACCCTTGCATAGATTCTATTTGGACGATTCAGTAATGATAAAATTCTGTACTAGTGTGCAAAAACACATGCATTTAGATTAGTAACAAATGCTGTAAGTCTCTTCTTAGAAACGAATTTCCTTCCCGCAGCTGTGTGTGGATTGTGATGATGCTGAAAGCTCAGGAATTCTAAATGATTGCAGCACCCTACTACAATATTAATAGCGGCTACCGTATTGTATTCATCCTGCAATATGCCAAGTTGTACATGACTCAACATAGGAGCACCTCGCACGAGACTCTCTATCGCATCGATTGAAACATCTGTCGTATGTTTAAGATTGATTTTATCAAGTAATTTGCAGTGCTTTCCCAATGCTTTGATTCCTTTGTCAGTCACTTTGGTGCATCCAGCAATGTTTAGATTTTTAAGTCTCCGACATGTCTTTGCGACTGTAGATAACCCCTCGTCTGTCACTCTTACACAGTAGGCTATGGATAATATTGTCAACATTGGACATTGTCTTAGAGATGTTATTCCTTTATCACTTATTTTGTAGCATTTGTCAAGAACTATGTGCTCCAGAAGCTTACACTTGCGAGCGATAGTCTGAATGCCACGATTAGTAACCAAGGTCCTACCAGTCAAGTCAAGTTTCCTAAGCCGAGGACAATACTTGGCTAAATACCCCAAAGATGTGTCTGCTATTGTTTTACAGTGTTCACCAGAGAAGTCCACTATTTGTATTGCTGTTGTATATGATGTAACAGCCCGTATTGTGCTATCGGTTATGCTCGCAGAAGTTGCGCACATCTTGAAGTCAACGCTTCTCCAAAACGTTGCGTCTCGACAAAGCTGGTTCCATTTGCGGCATACGCGCGAGATTATTACCCGCTCTTTTAACGAAAGGCACAAGAATATGCGTAGCCACAAGACATCTGGTAGATAATATTTGCCACCATTATTGTTCAGAAAATATGGGTCATGGTTGTTACTGAGTAATTCTAACGCATTACTTGGCCTGAGAACGAGAAAGAAAAGGACATCCGTTAGTTGTTTAGAACCCTAGCATCCATTTTCAGAGCAGCTGAATTTTGAGGACAAAACAATAAAATTTTTATGTCATTAGAATTCAAATGCATTGTTTTACTGTATAAGTCAAAAACCCCGAAATATAACCATGCATTGACCTATCAAACGGAAAATCCACGTATGGGCTATATATGGGAGTAACCCTTTCCCCCCCCTGGGAATGGGAATGAAGGGGATTTATGAGACCTAATCAGTATCTTGCTCCATTAGATCCGCTCTTACGATACTAAAATCAGCGCCATCATTGCTTATTAAGTCTTCCTAAATCCCATGCAGTGTTTGTTATGTTTTCATAATGATTTCCTAAATAAGAACCTGTTATAAATTTATAAGTTCAACAGGTTTTATTTCAACGGGAGGTCGAAATGACAAGCTTTGGCCTGCAGGATTAGAGTCGGATTTTATCATGTTGGAACTATTTCATTTCCATTTCTTGCTTGTAATTGATTTGTGAAAAACTCGACGGAACGAAGGCGTACGTCTTCTGACCGTGACGGCGCTTACTCTACGAGTGTTAAAAAACATTAATAAAAAATAAGTCTTTAGGTTACGAAAATAAAATTGTTGACATATGTCAGTATTAAGTACTTTCAACTCTTCGCTATTGGAGCCTGGTGAAATACCTTTCTAAAAATAATCCTCACTTCAGTGTGTCATCACCCAGAGAGGTATCACTTCTGTCGTGATGTCTTAATTTCTCAGTAACTGGGTTATTAGATTTTTGTTAAATTAGTTTGTTTGATCTAGTGATACACCAGTGGCTTTTCATTGCCATCAAAGATAAGATTCGAGCACGTATGGCTGAAATGTGTAGGTTCGTATACAGATGAAAAATATCGCTCACGTCACATCGAACAACGGCTTCAGATTGGATTTGCCCCGGGTGGGTGACTACATACGGACATGAGCACCACACTATAAACTTCTTGAAAACTGTCGGAGTTCGCTACTTGCTAACGGTTCATATTATACGGCTTGAATTAGCACACTGGAGGGCTTAAAATACTTCAAATTGCAGAGTCTCCGTATCCGTGCGTTCAACCGTCCGTGTGCCACCTATCCATCCATTCCATTTCTCATCCACTCATTCATTCATCTATCCATTCATCCATCTATCCAAGCATGCCTCCGTGCTTCCATCTATTCCATCTTAGCTATATTCGTCCATCCATTGACCAATCATTTATAATTAGCCAGCACCAATTACGTTGCGCACGTAGTAATACGCGTCGTTACAGTAACCTACATCAGTTGCAGGAATCCAGCATATATTCACATGTTACACCTTTTAAAGGCACAAACGTGATTCTAAGCAGACACGTATTCATGTCAGACCCCCCTTGATGTCGTAGAAGTGGAGAACGGATCACCCCATCATTCATCCTATGACCTCTTGACAAAATGGCTGACAGCGCACTTTATCCCGTTAAGAATCCGAAAATCCTTTTTCGACGAAAGAAAATCGCTATCTTCAAACACATAAATTAGTAATTCATTTAGGATTGACTTTGAGAGAGTTTGGCTTTGGAAACCTTAACAACAAATTGCCGTAGGCGAAGTAAAACCTTATAATAGACGCACCATTTAAGACCATCTTCTTCAACTCACTAGAACCAAAGACAGGAGTATGTATAGCCTGTCGAAGCATGTTTAATACGTATCATATGGATAAGCTATAATCTAGGAATCAGTGCTTTATATCACGGATAGTACTTACAGCTGATCAGTTACTTCGTGTTTAAACAAATCTTACCAAAGAATTTTTGGACGTCCGTTGTACGTGTTGCTTCTAGCTCAGAATATGATTTAAAACATTTGCACCTTTTTTTACAGTGCTCTGAGAAGCAAAATGAAATGCGTAGATGACTGACTCTAAGAAAAGCCTTAGGCATACATCCATATTTTACATAAAATACGTTTTTAGGGAATTTTGCCATCGATTTCCCACTTAAGTGGAGGATTATAGTACTCGCTCGTTTTAACACATCTTTTTCACTACATCGGTTGATCACAAGCTTCTATTTTAACAATCATCGAGTGTTTAACACAGATCAATTATACCAATCAATAGCGCTTGGCACGCGACTTGAACATCAGCTTTCCACACTTGATAATTTGTGATATGAGAGGGACCCTTTGAACCGGATAAGATGTTGAAACTGAAAATGTCAGTTAATTGGCACGTTAAGGTATAGCATACAGTAGAGTGCAACTCGAATTCTTTTACTCTTCTCACGATTACTTTAATTCAAAAATCAAAAATTCATATTTCAAGCCGTAATTTCTCTCAGTCTTTAATATGCAGTTTTTCTAGCCGATCAATGTGCTGTTGCAGAACTGACATTGATATCGTTATTATCATTTTTCCATGCAATGCTAACTTTTCAGTTTTCTTTGAAAATATATTGCTATATTAACGTCTGCCGCACAGACAAAAAAAGATATGACCTTCAAAATGTTTGGTGATATGTTTTTAATTGATTAGTACATGAAGAGATCTTTGTGCGTTTGAACCCGCTACTTAGTGCTATCATTTACACTACATCGCATAAAAAATATTGTTGTACCAATAAACCCCCAGTCAAAACACAAGGAAACAGACGCTGAAATGGGGAATTCCACGTCCATGTGTGAATTCTAGATGGAACGAAAAACCAGCTTGTCGTGCATAGCTACAAACCACTTGTTTGATATTGGTCAAGGTTGCCATAAATTAGTGGTTTTGCTCCTGGACGGAATAACTGATTTATTGTGCAGCAGGTGTGAGAAAATTTTTAATTTTTGGAGTTATATAATAAATGCTTGTACAGCCCATCTGATTGAGAAAATCTATTCTGATTATCTTTAAAAAAAAAGAGGGAAGTACCTCATGACTTAGACATAACATGATTTTATAGTTTGTATGACACTTCGTTGTTATGGTTCTTGGAGGCGAATGCTATAATTACTTTTCCTCACCTCGGAATATCTTCTTCTTCATCGCAATAGAGCAACGACTGTTCTCTGTTTTTTGATAACATAGTCCCCATCTCGACACTGAAAGTCCTTATCATCGATCGGTTCTTGACATCAAATTATGGCTCCATCATCAAGCCAAGGAAAAATCCAACCGTCTATAGCAGCTCGATCAGATAGATTCTGTTTAATAACACACGGTACGCGGTGTACAAGATAATATGCATACTAGGCAATCTGCCCTGTATTTTGTATGCGAGATTATGTTAATGACAGTAACAGGTGGTGGCGGTTCTCGCTGTCAATATACTCACTATGCTGGCATTTGGCCCACTGCGCTTTCTACATCATTCCATTACGAACAGTTCGCCCATTTAGCTGCTAACAATCACTCTGCCTAGGCGTGCTTAAACTTAAATGGAATCGAGTTTACCACGAAGTTGACGCTATTTGACCTTTACGTTATTCGTTGTTCTAAATTTCGTGTTGGTTTTCGTTCACCATGTCATGATGGTACCTCCCCACCCTCCCCTACCGACCATAAGTCAAAAATAAAAGAGCTACACATTCTTTTTGCCGAAAAATTCAGAATCTTCTAAAGGTTTTTTTTATTCCAGTTCATTTCCCCCTAAAACAATGCGTTTCGTAGATGAAATCGGCCAGATAAAGGATCTGTTGAACATTTGTATTTGTACACTTAGAATATAATATGAGACTAGACCTGTTTATATGCCAAAATAGCCAATTGTCGTTCACACAATTTATTACATTATAAAGTATAATGTGAGAATGGTTTAGCCAATTACCTTGCGCGCATCACAGTTTATTGTATGATTATTAAATATTTGACAATCAAATAGAACGACTCGTCTCCACTTAAAGGATTATTCCACATCAATCCTATATATCTGTTACTGACTAGTGAAGTGATGACACAACATTTATGAACAGGGTTGAAATCACATCCGGCTACGATTTGTTAGATGGGTTCAAACATTTCTCTCGCAACCCTTCTTCCTCCGTTATCAATCTTACTATCAAGGTTCAACAACAGGTATGCTTTCTTATATTTATTTATCTTTGCTAAAATGTTTATTTTGAATTAGTTTGCCTTTCTTTATCTTGGCTTCTAGAAAATGGCCTGCCGAAATGTAAGATGCCCTTTTAGAACTCCCGACACTACTCACTACACACTACTCCTAGCCCTATATCGTCTTTAAACATTACAACCCGAGCTACACTGCTGTCAAACATTTCTTATGCTAAGAGCATCTTACATGAAACATATTCTCTTATTCACAACCTTATTAAATAAAAAGAAAATAATTAATACTTATAGAAGAAAATATTAAACAAAGAGAAGAACGATTAGATATTAGATTTCAAGATAGAAAATTTAGTTTTCAAATTTTCTCAAATAGCAATTGGAAAAGCTTTACCCAGTGGTTAGTGTAATTAAGGTGTTCGCAGGTAAAGACATTGGCTCACTCACTCGATGGGTTTGTCAGATAGGTGCAGATATATAATTAGTACTTCATATTTATTTTTTTAAATGTAATTTAGTCGGGGGAAAAGAAAGAAACAAGAAGCTAGAGAAAGTATTGGGTTTACTTGTTTAGTTATTGTGTAACAGGTGTTAGGACAATTAGAGTGTTGAATTATTAAATCTTCATTACCTGAGAATAAATCAACACTTGTGACTTTACATCGTAGAAATTTGAAATACAAATGATCTTCAAGTGTAAGAAATTCTATAGAACTGAAATAATAAGCCAACAAAAAAGAATCGCAGAAAAAAAAAAGTAAATTGTGAACTTTACGTACTTTAGGCGATATTACAATGTTCAATAATGGATTTGAATCTTTAAGAAAGAAAAGGAAGAAAGAAAGGATGAAAGAAAAAGAAAGGATGAAAGAAAATGAAAGAATGAAAGAAAGAAAGGAAGAAAGGCAGGAAGGAAGGAAGGAAGGAAGGAA